AGAATACAGAAGTATCACTTGTGCCCACCCTCCCTAAGGGCACGTTGTACTTCCTCCGGGCATCACATACAGCATTTAAAGTAATTCGTCAATCCGAGTGAGTGAGAGCCAAGCGATAGGTGCATCAGCAGACCATCAAGCTCATGTGGACATTGCGGGATACCGGACGCTTGTGACCTTCCAACCCCCACCAAACGACAACCACTCCAAGCCAAGCGGGGGACTGGCCTCTTCGCTTGCCCAACGGTCCACAAGGAATCACATCGAGGCGACACGTCTCCGGGCATACACCCATTCAAATGCCCTGTACCGTAACGGGAAGCTTTCATACGTGAGCGATGAGGTCAAACAAGACGTAACGGTGACTGTAGCTCATTTTAGAGACACGTCAAACCAGGATGAATAAATAAATAAATAAAAAACGTAATTGAACCAGCTCCTCTTTATTTAGTTTGACTTTCAATGCCCTGGGCGCCACCTCCACGTCCCGGTGTGAACAAATAACCCGGTGCCTTCCTCAAAGCGCTGCACGGTTCGTGAAACAAAAGCCTCTTGGAATTACGCCTCCCCGCATGGTGTCCATCACGTGGAAGCAGAAGCGCATTCACAAGGAGAGCCACTGACGTTTGCAGGCCTCTCAAGACGTAAACAACCGTGAAGTGACCGGAGGGGTACAATAGCGCTTGTTCATCCATTTCGGCGACGTAGCCTCGTGAACTTTCTGCGTGTCTGAGATCCACAATCAACGCGAGACAGGAGAACCATGTCTTTTCGAGTTCTCTCAACCGTTCTTCGACAGTCCGCGTCTTCAGGAAACCGAGGAGGGTCCAACCTTTTGAATACCACAGCACTCATGCAAGCCCTGCATTGATTCCCAGTAGTTTACGACGTGGTGGCACACGGGAAAAATAACCCCAGAGACAGAACACGTGACACCGAACCCATCAATCGCCCCCAAAGACCATGTCTTCGCGAATGACAACGGCCATCTACCTGACCACGAGATATCACAATCCAGGTGGTTTCAGCAACGCCTGATTGCTTCGACCCACCACAGGGTGGGGCTGAGAGAGTGCCAGGGTAGCCACAGCTACGCTGCGGCATGGAGCAAGTGTCTCGCACGGTCTACGCTCCGAGACCACATTCAGAAATGACACACGACCACGCAAACGCCTCCGGATGTCGCTGAACAGACCGTCACGAAACCATTGGGACCCCTACTCGTGGCGTCCATTTCCAACCGCGATAACTACAAGATGAAAATGTCCCAACATGAGCAAGCGCTCCGATTGTCGTTCTAGAATTCCTCGAACTCTCCAACAGGTTTGCCTTCGAAATGCGTTGGAATATTGCTTGTCTTCGGAGTGCTTGTTTTCATCTGTGGTGTGCATGCACCAGGACACCGTCTCAACACGTACGTCCATGAAGGGCAAGTGTCCTTGGAAATACATGAAGAAGGTGGGAACGGCCCACTTCACCATCCTTCGGGTGGATAGTGTGCAGACGTCCCCGCTGTAAAGACACATATCTTAAGTCAACTCCCCGCTTTCAAGACACAAGAATCTCAGAAGCAGGATGCCCCGCAGGTGTACCACTGAACACGGTGAGGGGTACTGTGTTCAGCAGTCGGGACCCCCAAAAGATGCTCAAGGACACCTTTCGAACTGCAAGGCGCAATAGACAGGGTGAGCGATCTGCTGCTGCTGTCACCACTGCGGGTGGGTATGGATAAATTCGGACGACGTAGCTACAAGTGCACCTGTTGCTTGTGTGTTCCTCTTTGGTCCGTCTTCGTGAAATTATGCTCAGCTTGGTAATATATAGTTGTGCTACCTGATACTGGGCAGGACCGACGGGCTCCAATCATTATTTCGTTCGTGGTTTTGTCTGGCGTTGTTGGTGCTCCGACATTTCTACTTTCGTTTCAGGTATGGTTTTTCTACTTCCTTGTTGAGCAGGTAGCCTGTGCGGCGCACAAGGTGTACAGCATGCATCGTATCCGAGATCGTTGCAACGACGGTTGGCTGTCTTTCATTTTCTTTTGGGGTGCGGGTAACGATATGAATCTCGGCAAGGTATTGAACGCGGGAACGACGCCAAAGCAATAGACAAACTTAGCCAACAAAATAGCAACAGAAACAACAACAATGACAACAACAGCTGCTGTTGCAATTGTGTGCCTCGTCCTGCAGCACTATACCCATTGTTCCAAGAATAATGTGAGGGGTGGAGTGTTAGGACGTCAAGGTTCAAGAGCGAACGACGTATGTAAGAAAGTGCGATTTCCAACCACCACCACGTTGTGATAGTCAGGTTTATGATGGCTTCTTGGTTTCGTGCTAGTATCCCTGACGCAATTGCGCGTCTTCGGACGTATTGGACGCCTCCGTTGACCCCGGGAATGGTGAGTTGTCATTCCCGGAATCGTAAGGACCTTAAGGAAATTCCCCGCGGTACAGAAAGGCACTTTCAAATATACAATAGATGCGCATCTTCACAGCGGGTACTACTGTTTGGCTGTAAATTCTGGTGGACAAACAAAGTCCTGATACTTTAGAGCAGCATCAATTTGCTTTTCGTTTCTGTCAAGTTGCACGCTTGCGGAATGGGAACCAGAACAGACCGGGCCAATAGTTTCCACTGTTGTTACGTATACAGACATCGTTCGAATAAACACCACAACTGGGAATAATGCGCAATCGTGTTCGGGTTTGGTAGAAGAGCAGAATATCCTATAACCTACATGAAATGGTCGGGAATACTGTGTCAGTTTGTGAAAGACGCAAGTGGGCAACATTCTTCGTCACTGGAACTGAAAACAAACCAGAACATGAACTGCCATCTAAACACAATCAACACCCGCATCACACGAATACCAACGACGAGCCATGCCCGAAGTTGCATGCCCTGCAACCAATAGAGCACAACGTACCACGGTACGCGGGCCGTTCAAGAAATTGTTCAAGGTAGGCACCAACGACAAGGCTGATTAGAATTTTCTCACTCGTTTGAACGGATGCAATGCGCTTGGAGAAGGAGGCGGACAAGTACTAGTCCCGGGCGGCGACCCATCCTCTGCTTGAATACAAGGTAATAGAAATCCATGGCGAAGGGTACGAGACACATGCGGCGGGCTTGCCGTCTACGAAGGGCGAACATCCGAGTAGACAATCATGGACATTTTCGGGCATTGCTCGGAACCACGTCGGTCATTGACACCCGAACTGGAAAACGTCCTGTCGGAGTAAGGGAGGAAACACTAGCAGTTTCCCTCTCGAAAAATATTTCCCAACGGACGTGCTAGCGCGACCAGCGGTATCCCTTCGAAGAGAATTGCAACCGCTTTTGGCCTAATGTGAGAACGCCGCGAGAAATGATGGCGCGGGGGGGGAAGCCCAAGAAACCTAACCTAGACTTGAGTCCTCCATGAGTAGGAATCTTAGCAACGGGGCTGGTATTGGTAGCACCTACATCGCTGTGACTCAGCGGGTAAGTCCCAAACTAAAACCCCAAGTACAGACGATCACTGCACGTGAACACGATTCTCAAACATTCGCGGGAAGCGGACTTGTGTTTGTCACTTTGCTCAGGAGTCTTTCGAATACCATAGGATCGACGATGAACGTGAGTGGTTCATTGCGGAGTCGATGTGACACAGAAAAGCAGCTTTTTTCGGATATTTCGTGATGAACGTTTTTCTGAACATTTCCTCGCGTACTGCTCCCAATTTACCAAGTACACACTTGAGCAAGTGTCGGCTGGAGTGAAAAACGCTGCCCAATCCATGCGCATGGTTTAAGGTTTCGTGGCAAGGCCAAACTCTTCCTACTCCTGCTGCAGCCTGGGGGTGCGGGNGATGAACGTGAGTGGTTCATTGCGGAGTCGATGTGACACAGAAAAGCTTCATTTTTCGGATATTTCGTGATGAACGTTTTTCTGAACATTTCCTCGCGTACTGCTCCCAATTTACCAAGTACACACTTGAGCAAGTGTCGGCTGGAGTGAAAAACGCTGCCCAATCCATGCGCATGGTTTAACGTTTCGTGGCAAGGCCAAACTCTTCCTACTCCTGCTGCAGCCTGGGGGTGCGGGAAACGCAACATGTAATAGGAAACGTGACAAACGCCTCAGGCTCCTCGGAGAAGGGCGAACATTGGCCCAACCTCGCCTTGATCCTCTCGTTGGTGCTTTCCACTTGGTTCCGCGTGGCATCACAGATCATCACCGTGATCCCAGGGAATTCTCACGAGTTGGTAGAGATGGTCAACGGTCGTGCGATTGGATACCCGCGAGGCATTATGTATTTGCGTCATGCACGACCTAGAGCGCACCGCTCTGGTGGACACAGACGACCAATCCCATGTGAAGGTGAGGGCACCCATAGACCCATGAGAAAATACAGCAGTGCACCGGATCAACACGACATCTGGTGGCACCATGAGAAAATACAGTGCATCGGATCAAAACGACATCTGGCAAGTCGATAACGAGAGGCCCTCAATGAAGGACCAAATACGTCAGCTATACTGCGCCGGAATATAGACGCATGTCGGGCAAATCCAAGCTAACACGTCATCGAATACAACCTTCGGCGCCACCTGGTGCGTTCTATTTGGTGGTCGTCCACGAAATCACACCATACAAACCATGGAGCGCTTGAACCGGCGTTCATGATTCGGGCCAGAAACCACCAGGATTGTGCACAAGTTCTCAACGAAGCTCACGTACATGACTGCGAAACATCGAATCTTGCTACGATGCACTGTCGCTACCCTTCGCCCAAATACCCCTTGTTGGAGAAGAGAAAAGCTGGCGCGCTAATGGGTTTCAGTTCGATATTCTGGACTGCTGCACTACCAAGGGCGGCCTCCCTCAATGGCATGTGTCCTCAACAACGACGGCATCATTTCAACACAGGTAGCCCTCATTTGGTCAGCATCGTGCGATACTTGCAGCCTCCGTTTGTGCTGGCTTTGGGCCCTCAAAACACAGCATTTCCCCAAACGAACTTTATAGGATGAGCAATTCCCGTGCCGCTCACACACCCTTGTCCCCACCGAAGAAAAATGCTCGACCGCCTGTGGTTGCAACGGCCGACCTCTCTACAACCCTTCAACGTCGAAGACAATTGGCCTGGTCGGCCGACAAACCCAATATCGAACACCCACCGGCCTCCAAGATATGCACGCGTGCAGTTTCCGAGAGTATGGAATTTGTTCCTGACTCAATCGCAGAGTCTGAGCTACGGCCCCGCTGCTGTTCTCAACGTTAAACATATCGTACTCTTTCACACGTCTCGATTGGGCTCACGTCCTTCTTGCGAGTGGTTGGCACAAATCACGGGGCACAGAATGTCCGACGGTAGTATTCTAGTATGTCATTCCACTGGAGGTGTTATCCATGACAACACCGGAATTCGTTTCTTTGTCTGTGCACAGTAGCGAGAGCTAATCGACAGAAAATGTTGCTGTTCGTTGAGTGTGAAGACTTCATTACAGCAGTAAAAACCACAGCAGCAGAGGTGACACCAGAGGGGCCCAATCACTGCAACTCAGAGGCTGAGTTGCAAACAACAAAATAGTTGCATCCTCGCAGTCCTACGGTTTTGGGAACAGCTCATCACTAAGCAAATCATCTCTTCTCAGGACATCGAACAAACGATCCAGAATTGAACGTGAGCGGTGCAATCGCCGATTCGATCCCTGGTTTGGACATAATCATTGGTATACATGCTCGCTGTTCAATTTCGGAAAAAAAAATAACTTTGTCACAACAATAACAGGTGACTTTTTCCTAGTTGCAAACAACAAAATAGTTGCATCCTCGCAGTCCTACGGTTCTGGGGACAGCTCATCACTAAGCAAATCATCTCTTCCCAGGACATCCAACAAACGATCCACAATTGAACGTGAGCGGTGCAATCGCCGATTCGATCCCTGGTTTGGACATAATCATTGGTAAAATGCTCGCTGTTCAATTTCGGAAAAAAAAATAACTTTGTCACAACAATAACAGGTGACTTTTTCCTAGTTGCAAACAACAAAATAGTTGCATCCTCGCAGTCCTACGGTTCTGGGGACAGCTCATCACTAAGCAAATCATCTCTTCCCAGGACATCCAACAAACGATCCACAATTGAACGTGAGCGGTGCAATCGCCGATTCGATCCCTGGTTTGGACATAATCATTGGTATACATGCTCGCTGTTCAATTTCGGAAAAAAAAATAACTTTGTCACAACAATAACAGGTGACTTTCTCGTAGTTAGCATGACACCACCGGTGAGCAGGTGTCACAGGTGTTGCGAGAACCATGCCAACAAGACTTGAGTTTGAAAGAGTGAAAAGTTCCTTCTGATGCAGCATGGGATTCCAGACAAGGCATCTCTTCACTTGGGACAACGCTTTGAAACACACCAGTCTCGTCGGAGAGGGCTAGTAATGACCCATCGAAGTTCTTTCACCCATCATCGAACACAATTCTGGGGTGCGACCACGACAAGGACTCGCTGGGGCACGCGGGAGCTTCGCCGCTGTAGCATCACTCACCGCTCAGTTGGTTCCCGCCCAGCTCCAGCTTCTGCAGAGCCGTTAGTCCTCCCAGAGCAGACGGAATCGGTCCTGAAGCACGACGCCCACAGCATGAGACCAAAGACGGACAAGCGCATGACAGGTGACTCTCTACTAGTTAGCATGACACCACCGGTGAGCAGGTGTCACAGGTGTTGGTCGGAAGCGAGAACCATGCAAACAAGACTTGAGTTTGAAAGAGTGAAACGATACTTCTGATGCAGCATGAAATTCCAGACAAGGCATCTCTTCACTTGGGACAATGCTTTCAAACACACCAGTCTCCTCCGAGAGGGCTAGTAGTGACCCATCGACGTTCTTTCACCGTTCATCAAACACAATTCTGGGGTGCGACCACGACAACGACTCGCTGGGGCACGCGGGAGCTTCGCCCCTGTAGCATCACTCACCGCTCAGTTGGTTTACTTGCAGCCCCAGCTCCTTCAGGGCCGTCNCGCGGGAGCTTCGCCCCTGTAGCATCACTCACCGCTCAGTTGGTTTTCGCTCAGCCCCAGCCAATACAGAGCCGTTAGTCCTCCCAGAGCAGACGGAATCGGTCCTGAAGCACGACGCCCACAGCATGCGACCAAAGACGGACAAGCGCATGACAGGTGAACAAAGCATGCGACATGCCACGCGATTACGCTCATTGCACTGGTGCCCGATACAAACGTGCCTGAGAAACATGGTTCCATTCGAATAGACAACACGGACAATATCGGCCCATCGCTCGGCAACGCTGCGAAGTCGAGCAACACCAACCTGCCAATCGCACGGTAAGCCCTTCGATACGCGTTGCCATTGCAGGGACATGAAAGTTGAAACACAGAAACATACAAGGTGATGGTCGGTCGCGCCGTGCCGCGAGGCTCGTTCAAATGGTACGCTGAACATCGGGTGAGCTGATACTCAAGGGAGTTGGGCTCACATAGGCAGGTGTATTGAAGTCCTAACACAAGGGTGTAACCATGAACGTATTTCGTCCACGTTGTGAAAGTGATAGTTCGATTTTCAAAGCCCCAAGCGCCACGTCAACGTCCCGGTGTGAACAACCGGCTGTGTTTTTCAAAGCGCTGCACCGTACGTGTATCAAAAGCCTGTTCAGCGTTCGCATCTCCGCATGGTGTCAATCACGTTGTAGCAGGAGCGCTTTCACAAGGAGAGCCACTGACGTTTGATGGCCTCTCAGAAATCAACAATCGCGAAGCGACCAGGGGTACACCAGCGGTTGTCTAACCATGTCGGCGATGTAGTCTTCCGGAACTTCCTGCATGTCTGAGCTAAACAATCAACGCGAGACAAGAGAACCATGTCTTTTCGAGTTCTCTCAACCGTTCTTCGACAGTCCGCGTCTTCAGGCAAAGGGGGAGGGTCGAACCTTTTGAATAATACTCATGCATGCCCTGCATTGTTTCCCAGTAGTTTACGACGTGGTGGCACACGGGAACAATAACCCCAGAGACAGAATACGTAGCGAACCCATGATTCGCCCCCAAAGATCATGCCTTCGCGAATGACAACGGCCATCTACCAGACCCCGGAATCTCCACCCATATGGCTTTGAACAACGCCTGACTGCTGCGACCACGATAGGGCGGAGCTGATAGGGTGCCATGGCAGCCACGGGTACCCTACGGCACAGAGTACGTGTCTCGCACGGTAAACACTCCGAGGCCACGGTCAGAAATGACACACGATGAAGCAAGCGCCTCCGGATATCGCTGAAAACAGAGTGCCACGAAACCACTGAGACCCCTACTCGTGGCGTCGATTTCCAAGCCGAAATATTACATACAATATTTCGAACATGAGCAAGCGTTCCGATTGTCGTTCTAGCATTCGTCGAACTCTCCAACAGGTTTGCCTTCGACATGCATTCGAATACTGTTTGTATTCGGAGTGTTTGTTTTTATCTGTGGTGTGCGTGCACCAGGACACCGTCTCAGCACGTACGTACATGAGAGACAAATGTTCTTGGATTGTACGCGATGAAGGTGGGTACAGCGCACTTCTACCATGCTTCGGGTGGATACTGTACAATCGTTCCCGTTCTTAAGGCACATATGTTAAGTCAGCTTGCAGGAAAGCCAGAAAAAATCTCAGGAGTACCCCACAGATATACAAAACAGGGAGCGGGGTACGGCGTTCAGCATTCGGGACCCCCAAAATGATGGTGCGGGTCGCCTTTCGAACTGCACGGCAAAAAAGGCAAGGTGAGCAATCTGCTGCTGCTGCCACTACTGCGTGTGGGTATGGATAAATTCGGACGACGTAGCGTAAGTGCAATTGTTGTTTGTGTGTTCGTCTGTGGTCCATTTTCGTGAAACTATGCTTCTTCCTTTGGTTAGCAGGTAGCCTGTGTGGCGCAGAAGGTGTAAATCGTTATCAGAGGTAGTAGCAACACTGGTTGGCTGTCTTTCTGTTTTTTTGGTGGTGGGGGTAACGATATGCGTCTCGGCAAGGTATTGAACGCCTGAACGACGCCAAAGCAATAGAGAAACTAAGCCAACAAAACAACAAAAGAAACAACTGTTGTTGCAATTGTGTGCCTCGCCCAGCAGCACTACACCCACTGTACGAAGGAAATAGCCTAGAATTTTGTCGAAGATGGACTAAACTGTCTGTTGAAACCGTAAGCGTTGAAAGCATCACTGTTGCAAAACTGGGACTGGTATATACGTACATAGATTAGATGTCGCGTCCCCTCCAAACAACATGTCTGGACACCAGAGGAGAGCACACGTCTAGCCGTCGCCAGATGTTTTGGTACACACCCCGTGGGGAGCTTCCTAAGTTGTGCCGAGAAGCGGTCTTTCACCTCTCCTCGAACTATTCCTGTAGGGTTCAACGCCAACAAGGTCGAAACGCGATCTTGCAACCACGGGCTACTCGGATCTTCAGACTAATGACGTGTCCCCAACTCTGAGACGCATTCGAATTGCTTGCGAGAGACACAGACGCACGTCATCAATGATTTATGCAATCCGACCATATGAATTCAGCTTCTTTGGGGGGTGATCAATCAACTGTGCCTCAGCAGATGGTCATGCACCACGTACCTACAAAATGCTACAGAGCGTAGATGCAATTTCACCGCCACAGCGAAGAATAACCCCCACCCAACATCGGCAAGTCACGCCATGTGAACACGGAAGCTGTCAACAATTCGACACATACAACGTTCATTCTCTCCGACGGCGAGCTGGCTATGGGGGTGAAGTCAACGTCGTGGTTTCTGATCGTTCTTTGCGCAATCAAGCCACGGAGAATGAAATCTGACTGTCGATGATCGGTTCGCAACGACTGCAAGCCAGAATGCACCTCCAGGAAGCAAGTTTCCAGGTTGTCCATGTCGACGTACAATCGTAGTGCGGGAGATATTGGAACATATATCGGTTCATGTAACCTTTTTGGAATGTGTGGCTTTTCACGTGTTCGGAAATGGGGGGCGATGGAAGACGAACAGAGTCACAGCATTTTCCTCATTTTCCTCTCTGGTGATTTTTTTAGTGAACAGGTCCGACAGCTGCTTGAAACAACGGCCCCGTGGACAGATGTCACCGGAAACGACAAGCATAGCAAACGGCAAGCTGTTGTGACAGCGCATTTTCGTCTGACAATTCGGCGAGTGAAAGTTCATGAATTGTCGGCGACAAGGATGAGTCAGACACCGCCAGCAAATGGTTCACTGGGACACAATCTCCGAAGGCGGAGCCTCTTGAGTCTCTCCCGAATATGTAAAATCGGCACATTCAATGCTTGACGGGCGTAACCGACAGGCTTGGTTCTCTTGTCGTTGCAGGTTCTTCCTCACGCCTGCCTGGCGCAGTGACCGTTTGTGTATTGCATCTCAGAGGAGATACTGTGCTGGCGAGTTTGTGTGGCTAATCGTACCGAATCACAGATGCGGATACACGAGCACGAGTGTGCGTTGAATCGGTGTTTGTGCTGACCAAATGCCTGCTTGACAATACCGCCCGCGGCAGGAGGGTGGACATGAACAGGCGGGCATACCAACGACGGAGGTAGACCAGTACCTGTGCCAATACGTTTCTAAACGGAGTCGCCAGTCCGACAAAATTAGAGCCCAAGCACGGGTGTATTGGTCAGGCAACGGTCCATAAGGAAAGACAGGTTAAGTGCAAAGTCAGGTGATGCGTCTGCCAGCTGAAACCCGACCGGTGACAGTAGGTGGAGCTTTCACACTTGAGCGATGAGGTCAACCACAACCTAACCGACTGAAATCGTTTGCTATGAGACGCGTGACACCATGGCCACATGCCATGCCTTGTCCTGTAAGTTCCAACTCGCACCACTGCTTTTCATCATAGCATCAGGAGAAGCAAGCCATCGCAGGACTGTCTATTGTGATTTTTCCCAGAGGGTTAATATTTTGTGCTAACCTAACCCTAACCCTACGAAGGAAATTTGAATCAAACCCTAACCTTTACTCTCTAGTGTTGTGCCACAGAATTATTTTGTGTAGAAAGTGCTAAACAAGATGAAATGCATACATAGACGAACTTCACGGTAACAGCAGAGAGAAGCCCCCACCCAATATCGGCAAGCCATGTCATGTGAAAACACGACAAAGTGGACAATTCGACAATCACCAGACGGTCTACTTTCTCCGAGGGCGATATGACCGTGGGGGGGGGAATCAAGGTCCTGTTTTCGGATCTTGCTTACGCGATGACATCACGGAGGATGCAGACTCGTTGTGCGATGAGGGACATGCTTTGTACCAACAAAGCTAAGGACCTACCCCCCTCCCTCCGCACCGACCAAGGTAAAATATGAACGTGGCTCCGAGTGGGAACACCGGGTTCATCTAGTTGCGGAATGTCCCTTGTACAAGGAGAGGAGATTTTACGTGACTGAGCCTTGGGAAAAGTGTAAGGAAGATACAGGGAGATGTTCGAGGCAGAAAATACCAGCTAGGTAGCTGTACTGAGGCATAGAACGTGGGTTAAAAAGGCGGGACGTAATATCGATAGGATAGTCGACGGACAACAATTTTGAGACACCTTTTATTTGTAAAGTAGGAGGGGACGATTGGCAAATCGGTCTTCGGTCCTGTGGGAAACAATACTCCGTCCTCTCGAGGACGCGTGGTCAATGGTCCAACCACTAAGATATGCAAACATTAGAGTACGCCCCGCCTCCCCCTTCTACGCACCAGTATTACTTGAAACGGAGATCCCCCTCCTCGTCGCTGATCTGAAACTGCTGGTGGGTGGGGTCACTGGACACCCCGTGAGTCACCCCTCACCACCTTCACGAGTTCTTATCTTGCAGCTGCCACTTTTTTAGGGGTCTGTTCTTATCCGAAAGCCGCCCATGACCAAGTTCACAATGCCTGCACTCGAAGTGCACCTTCTTGCACGGCCCACAGAAGTATGGTTTGCAGGGTGTCCATGACAATAAATTAACGTAGTGCCGGATGAAGCTTGCACCTACATATTTCATTTCAGAGAACCTTCAATAGTACGTGGCAGTTGAGGTGTTCGGAACCGAGGGGCGATTCAAGACGAAGAGAAACACAACGTGTCGTTGTTTGCTTCTATGGTGATTTTTCTTAGCGAACAGGTCCGATAACAGCGTGACAACACAATGACGGCCCTTCGAACAGATTTTACCAGTAGCGAGCGGTAGCGCAACGCGGTTAACCGTCCTGACAGCATAATTGCTTATGACAGTTTCGTGGGTGACGAATTAGCCTAGGCTTCGTCGGCAACAACACTGAACCAGACACGTCCAGCAACTGGTTTACTGAAGTTACAACCTCCAGACGGGACCTCTTGAAGCTCTCTCAACTTTCCAATAAACAAAACTCTGCTCGGTCAGGGAGGTGTCCGCCCGAGGTCCGTGTTCTGAGTACTCATCTGCCATCAAGACTACACGAAACTTGCTTCCGAC